TGGAAACTCTGCTCAGCTCTGAAATTATACTAAAGCGATAATAGTCATGGGCTGAGGTCAAGAAAATTGTGTGCTTGTTAGAATTTTTTTCCGTTTTATTTTAATTTTGTTGTGTTATACCAACATGTGATTTCAAGCTTTTATGTGAGAAAAAAACATTTGTCCTATCCATGTCATTCGCACTGGACAAGAACCCGCTTCAATGAACCTGCATGGTGATTCTTTCTTTCAGATCATCTTTGCATAAAAAGCCTGCCTCGGTCAACAATTTTATTTATCATTTCATATTTTTCAAATTAACTGTGGAGAGGGCATGTTTCCCTCCAGCAAGAAAATAGGAACATGTGTAGAGACCTGGATAGCTCAGTTAATTTTCCACTAACTATACATGTAGATCAAGCTTCCGAAGTTTACTTTCGCAAACATGCTTTTTACTGGATTTCATTAGAGCTCATTCATATAACCTTGGACGGTAGAGAGTTGATCCTTTAATGAAAATTTACCTGTCGCAATCGTCACTTTCTGGTTTTCCACCTAGCTGCAAAATTTTTTGAAGTTCGCTGTTTATTGTGCGGCACCCGCCATTCCACGAAAAACATCTGTTCAGTTGGAAGAGGGTCAAATTTGGATAAAGGAGCTGCCCAAAAGTTTGTCCGTGATACTGAGATAGTTAGCATCAGTTAACTCGCTTTTTAAGCATGTGCGTGCCTGCATAGATTGCCAATCGTGCTGTAACAAAAAATCACCTATTTCAGTCAGATTTCATGATCAAGTTGTTAGGAAAACAACTGCAATGAAGGATGAGCAGAAATTTACTTTTCAGAAAACAAGATTAAACGATTAACAGTGTGTATTTATGCGGGGGGAGAAATATTGAAAATTTGGTTTTCATCCTAATGAGCTCACTGACCTCCGGTTTCATAGCTTTGCTAATGCAGGTTGAAGCCTGAGTGTAGCAATAAAGATTGAAACATAATGAAATGAAACGTCACTTATAAGTGGCCAATGACATTACAAACTCTCTGTGCTCTGAAACACAAGAGCGTTTCGCAGTCGCTTTCTGAGGTTAGTAGACTTGATAATGGCACACAGCTTCAAAGGAAGGCAGGACATAAATTTGCTGTATTTGTACATTGCTTCCCCCGTCTGTGGTTTTAAATAAAACCTCCAGTAGTGTTCGGATCATCCCCCTTCTCTACTCCCCATTTTCACACTACTTGATTTATTTGTAGTCTTGTCAATAAAGCCACCGGTAATTCGAGAATATGTGAGGTTTACTTACACTGATTAAACCTACAATGAACGTCAATCACTTTGGTTGCGGGGGTAAGCCGAGAAATCCGCAGTTGGCATGCGGATTCTCTGATATATCTCCTGGTTATCATTACGCAATTATTCAGTAGTGAGATGTATCGCAAGTAAACTAAACTGATCTAACACCTGTCACAAAACGTTAGGTCTGAAAATGGATAATCCTAGTAACAGGTCATTAGTTTGTAGAAGAGAGAGATAGGAGAAAATTTAGTTGACACAAAATTTTTACGGCACGCGTAATGGTTTAACAGAGCTTTGAGTAAGGTTTGAAACTTTAGTGGGAAAGAGTGATACAAACGATTGTCATTATTGTGCTATAGTCCGATGCCTACTGTTTGGTAAATGCGTGGCACTAATACCTAGGGATTATGTGTCGTCTAGAGAGCTTATGTGTGCCATATGATTCAATTGTTCAGTATTCTCCACGTATACGCAGTTAATGAACTTTCTATTTCATGACGAGCTTTGCCCACCAGAAAAAATTATGCAAATTAGGCTAAGCCGGATCTGAGTTCCGCCTGGCAATCATTAACTGTAAGAGATCTCAGTTCGCGCCCACAGCACGTTCAAGGTGTTGCGGATGAAGTTTCTGTAATTACTTTTTGGCACTTTTCGGCGTCAAAATTGCATAGTTTGGGTAACCCAAAACCCTTAAGCTGACCTTTCTTGTCATAACACGAATGTTTTCCAGAAAGGGACACGCGGTAATGTCGGTGTCACTCGTGTGCAGGCATTT